CCAACTAGTTATGCTTCCTTGGGGCAGGTTCTTCTCTCATTGGTGTGCTTTGTCTCCAAGAGAAAATGGAAATAACCTGAGTTTGAAGCCATCTTCACTCACTCCATTGATCTTTGTTAGGGAGCATAGCTATCAAAATTATCAAGATGATCTAGAGGATCTTCAAGTGGCAACCCATGGAACTTGCTGCTCTGAACCATTGAAATCAATCCAGACATGAATTCAAAGTTGTTGTTTTGGACTGCTGGTGGGATGATGCCAGTCCTGTTGTTGTAGGCATTTGGTGCATCACCAGCACCAATGGGTCTAGCTGCTCTTGGAGCTTGTGCAGCGCCTCTTGGTCCTTGCTCACTTTGTAAGCCCTGAACACCTTGCTGTCCTTGTATACCCTGAGCGCCAACAGCTACTTGAGGACCCTGGAATCTGATATCATCCATAACAGGTTCCTGATTGTTCATCCCAAGTCTCTGCAAGTGTTCCTGCCTTTCTTGCTGTCTTCTTGTTCTCTGACCTCTGTCCAACATATTGATGTTGTCTATGAAGTATACAAGATTGCTTGAACCTCTGGATCTCAAGTTCATATACCTGAAAGACAGCAATGAGAGTCAAAGGAGATTAGTAACCAAAGAAAACTAAAAACTTGATCTTAAATATTCTACAAACTCTAATGTTTCAAACTGTAAACCCAAATGGCAATGGCGCCAAATTGATACAAGAGTTTTGACTCTCTTGGTCAATTACCCAATGTACTAGTCAGTTGTAGTGTAGCATAGGATTTTATCAATCCAAATGGGTTTGTTGAAAACAATGGAGTTGTGAGTAAAAATCCTTAAGTCAAACAAGCATAAAAGGCTTTTGTTGCCTAATCAACCAATCTAACACCCTAAGATGATCAAGCAGCAAGGAGAATAAAGAAAAAGGCAGTTTAAACAAGATTAAGCAAGCAAAACAGAGCAAATTCGAAATATAACAAAAGAGAAAAGCAAGTTCCTAGATGTGGTTATTGACATTGGGGAATTCAGTTATTAATTAAGGTTGTTTCAAACAGCATTGATCAAGCAAACAAGCTAGCAATGGTGATTCCTAGACATAGAGTTCACAAACAAGCAAGCTAGATCCAATGTCTTGTAAAATAGCCCTTTGCTAAACACCTTAACAAGAACTAACTCTCATTAGTGCTAAAATATTCAGCAAGCATTAATAAACAACTCTATTCAAGTCAAAATGCTCCTCAAACAGTCAATATCTTGAGCCAAGGCCAGCAAATCCTCTATCAAACAAGATCAGCATTTCATCAAGCACTTGGTGGGCATAAGAGAAAGCCTAAATAAGTGTGATCAAGACAAATCTAGTTTAAGAACAGATCAATAGAGAAGAACCCATATAATAAAGCACTAAACAAACCTTAATCAAGCCTTAAATTCTCCTAATCTACCACATCTAGAATCCCTAAGCAAACTACTCACTAATAGCCATGTTTAACACCAAATCACAAGAGGAAGGAAAAGGAATTTGGATTAGTGATTTTGTGAACATATCGAACCTGATCTATAATGCATGTTTAGGTTGTTAGAATTTGCAAAGGAATTTGGAATTCTAGAATCTGATCATAGTTAATCTCTGCGACGGAAGTCGATTGGTTTTACACTAGTGTTTCGAGTTCTAGAACGGTTTTAATAAATATTTCTTTCAGCTCGTAGTCTGCGATTTATGTCAACCTGTGAATTTCCCATTGCCTAGCGTCTTGTCTTATTTGATTTTAAGAACCTACAATCCGCCCCTGACATCATTATTTTCGTTCCTATTTTAATTTCATTTCATTATTGACTGCTTAGCTTTATTTGAATCTAAAATCTGTTGAGTAATAGCCTTAAGTCCTTGTGGATTTGATCCCTAAGTACTACAATGATCTCTTAATTTGAGAGAGTAGCTCTAAGGGTTAATTTGAGCATATCAGTGTTGTTGCAATGAACAACAGTTGATCGTTTGTGTTCTTAGTGACTGGCTAGTCGTTATACGCGATGGTACAGATGATCTCTAACCATCTCAAGTTCATTTGTTTAATACTTTAGCAAATCGTGATCTTTAATGATGCCTAACCATGTTGATACTTTTTTGTACGGGAATATCACGTTTCTGAGCATGCCGGTATCTCAAGGGTTTTGTTTAACCCTGATCTTCAAGAGGCACTTGAGTTACGGGATATGATGTAAGATAGTTTTATTTTTTAAAAAAAATATTATTTATAAATACGATAATGATCAACGGTTGTCGTAACTGCTCTGTTTCTATATACTTGAATAGGATCGGAGATAGTGAACAAGAAGATGCAGATGAAGAACAAAATTATCTCGATATAGACGATTAATATCTATTAATTTATGCAACATCTACTCTAACTTCTGTTTATTATCTTCTTCTGTTGAAAACTTATATTGAACAATGTTGTCTATGAATTTTTTTGTAGACTTCCTATATTGCTATATGGTCACTCATTTCGGTTAATTACATATCTCTCTTGGTTTTTTTATAAACAAACTTAGCAGACATTCTGTCTGAGTAAGCATGGGCTTTAAAGTTTTATGATGTTATTGGATTACAAATTGTACTGGGCCTCAGTGTAGTCAGGTTCTAACCAATGCTATTGAAGTATTTTTGAATTTCGAACGTTACTTTACAGATTAACGTATTTTTAATGACTAAATCCTGCCTTGAAGAATGTAAACTGTCTTCAATAGTGAAAGCTCTGAACCGTTCTTTTCTTTACCTTTATTCGATACATGCATAATGATTCAATATTTGACAATTTAGCTTATCGGTATTCGTTTTTTACTTAAGTCTTTGCTATATTCAAGAAACAAGGGCCGTAATCAGTTCATATCAGAAGTACATTATGACATTTCTGATACTTGAAAAGTAGTAATATGTTTAACGATTTTCGCTTGTTCTCTGAAATCCTAAAAATGGCCGGAATTACTAAAATTAGTCAGTTGTGTTTTCGAGAACAGATTGGACTATCAGAGTTATGGTTTATAAAAGATGGCTTGAACTGGTACCAGACGCTGGTGATGTTCTTCACTTCATACTGCTTGATGATCAAGTACATTTTTGCTTGCGTTTTTTCTCTTTCTTTGATTCAGGTTGGGATTTTTAATTAAGAAATGTTACAAATGTTTTAGGGTTCAAAAATTCAAGCAACAGTCGGACATGAGGAGTGTGTTCCTTATTTTTTAGAGAGGCTCCATGAGGGAGGCCTATGGAAAAGAGTTAGAAATTTCAGTGTGGTCTCAGCGAGATCGGCGAGACAAGTGACAGCAAATTGCTGGAGAATTGAGTTTGATTCCAGCACTAAAGTCTTGGGAGATCTCAAAAATGGTGATTTCTATAAGGGAAAAGATCCACATTTGCATTTACTTAGTTATGAGAATCTTTACCTAGGGAACTTTCAATGAAATTGTCCTGTTGGTAAGTCTTCTTACGGATCTCTCATTATGATTTCGAATCGACAATTAGGTCTTACAAGCGTTTTTGTTCTGAAATAATGCTTACAGATTTAATTGGTGCCGTTGAAACTGTTGGCGAACTTTGGGTTGTCAGAGACCGTTCGTTTCAAGATTTTGAGTCGAAAATGACAGCAAGGATTGAGTTTACACTAACGGACGATACATAAGTCATTATTTAGTGTTTTGTATTAAATTCAAAATATTTACAGTACGGAACAATTCAGCCTAACATAGTTTTAGTGATAGGATGATCAAGTGTTATGCACACGGAAAATTGGCCACTGAGTTCAACGATAGGTGGTGTTATAGTACAGACCAATTGGTCATTTGTGTGCTAAGTGACTCGTGTGTCGTTGTATGCAATGGTATGACAATTATGCTATTGTCTTAGAATTATTATTGATCTTTGGCTTTTGAGTGAGTATCAACTTTTTGTAGAGGAATATCATGTTGCTGATCATCTCGGTGTCTTAAGAGTTTTGTTCAATCTTGATCTTCAAGAGGCATATGAGTTGCAAGATATATTGTAAGATAAGAATTCATTTTTGCAAATAAATATTTAGATCGTGTGATAATGATCAACTGTTCTTGTAACTATTATGCTTAAATATTCTTGAATAGAATTAGACTGAATGAATATAGGTATGAAGATGAAGAAGAAAACTACATTGATATCAATAATTAGTAAGGGTTCGATTTATGCAACTCTTATAGAATTTCTGTATTAATTACTTTTTATATCTAAAAAAATATCATCTGATAGCCAATTGTGCTACTTCAAAAACATACGCTAACATGATATATATTGTTTGAATGATCATTTTTTTTTTGTTATAAATATCTTAGATTTCTATAATTTCTCATAGCTAAATTTAGTTTCTGAATGTGTTAACAAATTAAATTTAACAAATATTTATTGTCCGTGCGGACCATCGTCTAGTTTCTCAAAACTCAAAAGTAAAGAAAATCAAGAAATCGATGATAAATTTTCCCCAATTAATTTACGTCAACTTAGAACGGTCAGCGTTTCATAAATGCTCTGTCCGTCTTGCAGAGCAAGAACCTTCATCGACACGTGTCATAATCTCACGTCTCTCCGGCCCCACAGCTGTCTCACGCTTCCCTATCGCTTTTTCTCTCTTCCCTTCTTGAGTCTCCTTCTCACAATTCCGGAACCTTCTTCTTCTCCTCATCTTCGAAGATCCTAAGGTTCTCTTATTATCATCCCTCTCTCGATCAATCGCAATCGTGTTACCAAATCATCAAAAATTTCGCGTGTTCGTTTTATAGAATCGTTAATTAGGTTTTGTTTAACGAACGGCTCTCGAGCTAAAAATTATATTGACTATCTAGTTTCAATCATCTGTAACTTTCTTCTTGTTTATTGGCGATTAAGATAACCCAGTGAAATGCGTATAATGATAGCTGCATAATGAAAAAAAAAATTGTTTATAATTTAACATGTAACTGATTTTGTTGTTGGTGATTTTCACAAGTATGGCGTCATCAACGGCTCTGATTTGCGAGACCGCGGCGTGGAACGATTTGAAGGTAGCCTTAAGGATTTTTCTGTGCTTAATTTGTCAATAGTCGAAGGTTCGAGATGTGAATTTTTTGAATTGTTGCAGGGGCATGTTGAAGATATTAAGAAGACTCATTTGCGTGATTTGATGAGTGATGCCAATAGATGCCAACAGATGATGTTGTATGTGTTGTTTTCTATTTTGTCTATCTATATATATATATATATATATATTTATGTATGTAATCTTTGATATTGATCTCTGTTGATACCTTAGTCAATTCATTCAATGCAATGTCAAACGTCGACGTTTTTTCTGTGTAGAGAAAGGTGGATGTTTTAAGTGATTGTGTGCATCTTGTTATTGGTGAATTACGATATTAAGTCCTTGATTTGTTGGTTTGCTTTCATCAGGGAATTTGATGGGCTGCTCTTAGATTATTCTCGACAGTGTGCAACTGTTGAGACAATGAACAAGCTTTTGAACTTGGCAAAGGTGAGGGGAGATGTTTACTTGTAGATTTCATAGAATGTATTTCACTCGAGATCTTCTGATAGCAGTTGCTCGATTCTAAATGCAGGCTGCAAAGTTAACAGAGAAGATCAGCCGCATGTACAACGGGGAGCATGTGAGTATCTTGAATTTGTTATTGTGCAACGGCCAACGGGAATAGCTGTTAATCTCAGTTTGATTTGATCTTATGAAACCTTTTCTTATAATGTTTTTTTAGAGGATATAAAAGAAGACATTTCTATTTGATAGATAAGTCAGAGTATATGATACATTTTATATTTCCTGTGCATAATTGCATCATTCTCTTGGTGTTTGATTGTTTTGTTTTTTTTTGGCATAACTTATCGAATTGCTTCCTCAGATTAACAGTACGGAGAACAGGTCGGTTCTTCATGTGGCTCTCCGTGCTCCAAAGGATGCAGTTATTAAGACTGATGGAAAGAATGTGGTTCCAGAAGTGTGGAGCGTTTTGGATAAGATCAAGGAATTTTCCGAGAAAATTCGCTCTGGTTCATGGGTAAGTCATAGATGTCATCTAAAAACCTACCTTTACTGTTTTCATCTCTATGTGTTGAGTTTTCTGCACTTATTGACAGGTTGGAGCTACTGGCAAACCGCTAAAAGATGTCATTGCAGTTGGTATTGGTGGTAGCTTCTTAGGTCCACTTTTTGTGCACACTACTCTCCAAACAGGTGGCTGCATGTAGTGTTAGTACCTGGCCTCTTGGTGATCTTCTTTCTAGCTGGTTTTAATAATCTCTGGTTTTGTATGCATGTTTATTATCAGATCCGGAAGCTGTAGAGTGCGCCAAAGGACGCCAGCTGCGATTGTAAGCACTACATACCTCTTGCTGTATAGTTCCATACATGCCTATGTGTTTCTGTCCGCAAGGCTTTAGTAGTCTTGACTGATATGCTTGTCACAACGTTTCAAGTTTCTCCTGAAGGTCCACAGAAACTCCTAATTATGTGTTGTTTTTTACCATCATTGTCGTGGAAACCACATACTCCTTGATAATCAATATTTTGTTAACTTAGTAAGAGGAGGCTGTACTGAACTTATTAGATTCGCCTTCTAGTTATCTGTATCGGATTCGATTCTTTGCCATATTTTCTTGTCTTGGTGCAATATATGTTTATGCCTGGATTAAATTTGTGTTTGTTTTTGCAGCCTTGCAAATATTGATCCTGTTGATGTTGCTAGAAATGTCAATGGACTGAATCCAGAAACTACCCTAGGTTCATGCTCAAACTATCAATCAATTCACCTTGATAATTTCCGTTTACGGATTTTTACTCTAACTAATCCTGAGGATACTTGTAACTCCAGTTGTGGTGGTCTCAAAAACATTTACAACGGCTGAAACAATGCTGAATGCTAGGACATTGAGGGAGTGGATTACAACTTCTCTTGGGTTAGTATTCTCTTTTCTTAGTTTTCAAATCCCTTGACTGCATTCAGATTATTATTGTGTGGCTATCTTCTTGTTTTGATGGAGAACTACAATTATCATGACTGGAGTTATACATCTATTTCACTCTTTTCTGCCTGGCCTCAATCTTTGTAGACGTTATACATTATTTACAAAGAAGATTTTATGCTTGTACAGTTTAAGCAATTTTGTTAAAAAATAAATCTCTATTATTCTATGCAAGTTTCGGGTATGGTGAATGAACAGCAGTCATTTAACATGTGGTAACTTAACAGGGCTCCGGCTGTTGCAAAACACATGGTTGCTGTCAGCACTAATCTTGCGGTATGCAATCGCCGTTGTTTTTTCTTGGAATATTTTTTCATTGTTTATTTTAGTTCAATTAAACCGAGAATCACATTTATAGTGGTGTATTAGAAACTTAAAAATTCTGTCAGGTATGATGTACAATGGCAGTCTGCATGTTCTTGGGATTCTGATTCATTTCTACTTCTTTCTTCATGTTTCATATTCAGACAGTACATAAAAAAAAAATTTGATCTTTTGTTTAACAGTTAGTGGAGAAATTCGGTATTGACCCGAACAATGCATTTGCATTTTGGGACTGGGTTGGTGGAAGATATAGTGGTAAGCTCTTGTCTGTTTGGTTGGATTCATTTCTCACCCATATCCACTTACTTAGTCTTTAACTGAAATTCTGTTGCAGTTTGCAGTGCCGTTGGAGTCTTACCTCTTTCTCTACAGTATGGCTTCTCCGTGGTTGAGAAGTACGGTAGCTTCTATTTAATATCCATCTCATAAAATGTCTTAAGCATAGGAAGTAATGCATGTCTGTCTTGAGAAATCTATTTGACATAAGTGTGCAGACGTAACCATAAGACGACAGAAAAAGATTGATTTGTAATCTGTTCTTCTTTTCTTTCTTTTTCTAAAACAATTCTTATTTTGTCTTGTATTGTAGTTTGAATTTTAAAGGAATGTTCTATGTTTCTAAAATCCAGAAGAAAAAGATACAGTCGATATTCAGTCTTTCTTTCTTTGGATTGCAGGTTTTTGAAGGGAGCTTCAAGCATTGATCAGCATTTCCAATCAACACCGTTTGAGAAGAATATACCCGTGAGTGCTTTATTTTGAATTTGAAGTCATCCTTTGACAATATGTATGTGTGCACTGGGTTTGTGATTATTTCAGTTTTCTTATTGTTTTGCTTTGTGTTTTGGGTCACCTCCTCTACCTTACTCTCCCATAAAGTTTCTTACGCAAGCATGTCCATTGAGTGATTTGTTTGGTGACTTTTGACGATTTCAGGTGCTATTAGGCTTGTTGAGTGTATGGAATGTATCATTTCTTGGATATTCTGCCAGGGTAAGAATTGACTCCTTTAACATAGAAGCTGAACTTTTCTTCTCATATTAAAATGTTAAGCCTCCATTAACATCTTGTTGTTTTCCCAGGCCATCTTACCTTACTCTCAAGCCCTTGAGAAATTTGCTCCGCACATCCAACAGGTATGTGTACTGTTTTTCCTTTTCTTTTTATCTCCTAAATCTTTGCGGCTTCATATTTTTGTTTTGACATAAAAAAACATTAAAATTGTTTACGGGAACATTGTTTGATTGTAGGTCAGTATGGAGAGTAATGGAAAGGGAGTCTCAATCGATGGTCTACCTCTCCCCTTCGAGACTGGTGAGATTGATTTTGGTGAGCCTGGAACGAATGGTCAACACAGCTTTTACCAACTAATTCACCAGGTACTTGCTACAAAGTAACTATAATTTGTGTTTCTTGTAAATTTTGTTAAGTTATTGAGGAATGCACTAAATACTGTTAACAATGTTTTAGGGACGCGTAATCCCTTGTGATTTCATTGGCACTGTGAAGAGTCAGCAACCTGTGTACCTGAAGGGTAGGCGTTTTCATTCCTGTTGTACATTTTACTCGAGATTTTTTATGCATTCCTGTTTATGCAACTTAACATAAATTGTGGATTTTTTTCACAGGAGAGGTTGTCAATAACCATGACGAGCTCATGTCCAACTTTTTCGCCCAGCCTGATGCTCTCGCATATGGAAAAGTAAGAGTTATACGTTTGGTTATGGAGATAAAGAGTCTGATGCATGACTTAAGGTTCCGTTCTGAAACAAACTCTTTTGGTTTTTTGGCTTTTGTAGACACCTGAACAGTTGCAGAGAGAGAATGTTTCAGAAAATCTCATTCCTCACAAGGTAAAAATCGTCTTGAGCTTTTATTTTTTTCAGTATATGAACGTTGTTTGGTAAAATGTTGGTTCCTCTTTCCACACAGACATTCTCCGGAAATCGACCTTCTCTTAGCCTTCTACTTCCAGAATTGAGTGCATACAATGTTGGCCAGGTCTGACCCTCTCTCAAATTTATCACCACTGTCTTAAGATCAGTCTTAAGATCAAGATGAAAGAATCACTGGTACTGAATAAAAACAACATTCTTGTTTATGTTTTGTTTGCAGTTGTTGGCAATCTACGAACACAGAGTCGCCGTTCAAGGCTTTGTGTGGGGTATCAATTCATTTGACCAGTGGGGAGTTGAGCTAGGGAAAGTTCTAGCTACTCAGGTGAGGAAACAGCTTCATTCATCACGTACTCAAGGAACCGCTCTCGAGGGATTCAATTTCAGTACCACGACGCTTTTGAAACGATACCTCGAGGTAATAATGTCTTAACGAACTTCTCACATTCTCAATTGTCGTTCGTGGTACACCATACGATTAAAACATCTCTCAAATACTTTACCAGGCAAGTTCAGAGCCGAAGATGTGAAGTTGCATCAGACCGGACAAGCCTTTCCACGGTTTTCTCCTTTTAATCAAACGTGAACTGTTCCAGCGTTTTTGCAGTCTTGTTCTTCGTTTCTTACACTCCCTAATCATAAACTTTGATTCCCTAATCAATATACCTTTGATTGCTACTCATTTATTATCCTAAAAATGGGTAGTAATAATCCAAACCCCATAAAATAAGAATTGCGAGCACTAGTTATATATCTATCAGATGAGCCTTTCGTCATTTAATCTTTGAGCATATATATATATATATATATATATATATATATATATATATATCTATTATCTTTGTATATGGACATGGACATAAAGAAAAGACCTCGCATAGCATATTTAATGTTGTACCTCAGTGAAAAGAGGAGCACTAGTTAACCAATAATAGGATACTCCTGCAAATTGTTGACAAAATGGGTTATATTGTGGTCTCTGGAAAAATAATTAGGTGGCTTGACCAAAATTTGGGATGCTAAACCCTTCGAGTTCACAGATTTCTCTATGGTCTCGTTGATTCCCTTCATAATCTAAAATTTGCGCTCAGTCTTTAACTCCACATTTCAGCAGTGGTTTTACCAATGTACTTTAGATTTGTAGGGACAGGACGAATCTTTTCTTTCAGTTCTATAAATGCCGTCACACTTCAGCGTGTTCAGATATCCCGGAATTCCCTAAATATTAAAAAGAAAATATTTTTAAATAATAACTTTATTTTTATAAATATTTACAGTGGTAAAATTATGCTGATGTGTCAACCTCATATTTATTCTCAGCTAATTTCTTAAAAAAAATTTAAATTACTAGACTAATTATTGTATATTTTATGTTATGTTTTTATTTTTTTAAATGAATTCAAATACAAAAATATTAGAATTAATAATTTAATAAAAAAAAATTTGTTTAATGCTAATTATAATATACACAAAATTTATTAAATAATATTTTTACAATATTATCCATATATATTTTATTATAAATTCATAATAAAATATATAGTATTTTTTAATGTTTACTATTTTTATCATTCATAGCAAAATATATAATACTTTTAATGTTTAATACTTTAAAAAAATATATGTTTATTAATTATTCATAAAAAATGATCTTATCAAAATAACTTAAAAATTAAAAATAATATTTTATATTCCTCAAATTCATAGCAAAATATATAAAACTTTACTATTGTTTACTACTTTTATTAAAAAAATATGTTTATTAATTGTTTATTAAAAATATTCTTATAAATAAAACAGAATAACTAAAAATAATATTTTATTTTTCTCAAAAATCAATCAGAACAAATAAAAGAAAGCCATAATGATTTTATTTACATATTGTTGTAATTATAGCATGCATGAAAATAATTGTAAAAACATATATAATACTTCAACCTAAATATTTTTAAGTTTCTATCTTTTAACAATTCATAATAATATATACAAAAATATATTATTAAAGATATATGTTATTATCTTGAGAAACATCAATTAAAAGAAAAAAGTCATAATGACGAATTTCCAAAATTATTATGATATATATTATTAATATTCGGATTTATTATATAAGGAAATATGATATATTGCATTATAGTTTAAAAATATATATGATTCTTAGATAACAAATATGGTATATAGTATTATTGCTTACTTTTTTTGGTAAGATAATATTATTTATTTATTTTTTAATTATTCTTTGATTTATCATATACAATATCAATTTTTCAGCAAGATTTGTTCATTTTTTTTCTTAGTTTGTCGGCTTTAAATCAATCAATTTAATTACTGTAATTTTTTTTATAAATTGATAATATTGTGGTTTTAATATTTTATGAATTTATAGAATTATAAATTTATCGGTTTTGGAATTAAATAAATTATTTATTAATAATTAATTAAAACTATATTTGTTTTAAAAGTTAATGATATCTTTAAAATTTTCACTTTTAAATTGTAGATAAGCCATAACATTAAAAACAAACAATTATGTATTTATATTTTAGTAAATTATCATAGTTATATATTTATATAAAATTATTTTATGGTAATTATTAATTTATGATATTAATGAAACCATATATTTATATAAAAGTTTCTAAAAAAATTTTATCTTATCGATTTGTATCATATTTTGAACAAATCTATTAGGAAAATTTTTTAATTTATTTAACTAATAATATTTAATAGATAAGTAACAAACTATTTAACTAATAAAATTTAATTATTTAAGAGTCAAAAGTAATTAAATATGTACATAATATAGCTGGGTATATTTCATAAATTATCTTATATTTCATAAAAAATTATATTGTCAATGTTATAGTATAATATTATATAAATTTAATTATATTTTATTATATAATTTTAAAATTATATTAAATCTCAATAAATAAGAATTATTTCACTCCGCACAAAATGCAGGTTATTACATAGTTTTTTAGTATTTGTGGTTTGCTCCGTTTTTAACGGATATTTAATTTTATAATTTGATTTGCTCCAGAAATATACGGATATCCGGATTTTTGGATATCCGAAAAATTTACAAGTATTTTCGGATATTTGCGGATATTGAAGAATATTTATAAATATTTAGTTTGATCCGTTTAATATACACAAAAATGAAAATACATCAATTTTTATTAAAAAAAATATTTTTCATCTAAGCTATTAATTGAAAATAACTAAAAGAAAACATTTTATTTTATAAAAAATCTATAAAAATAAACCTACAAAATTAGGATGAGGAAAAAAATGATATTTTATATTTAAAAATGATATCAACTATTTGTAATTTTAATAATAAACTTTACTAAAAAACCTTTGTTGATGTTTATTAACTAATATAAAATAAAATATTATTTATTAACATATTTTAAGTTTAAACATATTATTTATTTTTTATAATTGATTATTTAGTCATTTATTTTATATAATCAAAAGAATTTAGAAATAATTGAAAATTTAGAAAAAATATTGAGAGTATATTAATAAAAATTTATAATATAATTGATATATACATGATAATATATACTAATATATAATAAATTTATAAAGATACAGATAAGATCGGATATCCGACGTTGTCTAAAAACATATTTGAGATTTGCTCCATTTTGTACGGATACTAAATTTTACTATTTGCTTTGCTCCAGAACTTTACGGATATCCGGATTTTTCGAATTAGATTGAAGCAAATATTGGTTCGAAGCGGATATAACAAATATTTTGCCCACCTCCAATTCTACCAATTAGTACTTTATATTTGTGGGAACGAAATAAATCGTTTTCTTTAATTTTATAAATGCCTTTTTGGTCTAACGGTTGAATATTGCTTTAAATTCTATGCTACACAACTATCTAGTATTTCACAACCCAAAAACAGAATCTAACGAATAAAGAATGGTTGCATGCCGTCTTGTGTTAAAACTTATTGCTGTAGCAGAAACTGTAAGATGCAATATTTGTAAATAGAAATAATTGTAAGAATTCGGGTTGCTATTATAAGATGTGAGGGATTATTTTGAATTTTTCTCAAGAAAGCAAATATAAAGAATGTGTCGAATCCGTTTCGACCCAATTCTACGAGAAGAGTAATAGTAAAGTAGAAGTAAATGGCTTTATTATTAATAATTACGAGTGTTTATCATGTGATTGGACCCGCATATGTTTGATAAAAAGAATATTCTTATCTTTTGAGAATAATCAAAAATAAAAAGTATTCAATTAGAATATGAAAATATGACCGAGTTTGTCCTAGTTGACAATGAAACGAGCCTAGATGATGAATTCATAGATAAAGTAAATATTTTGTGTGTTTAATTAAAAGTTTAGAGCATTACAATGGGAGTCTCTCATGACAGTCTTTTAATATAGTGATATATTTATATTTGACTAATCTATATATATATATATATATATTAGGTTTATAACTCGTGTTACGCGCGAGTCTGTATTAAAATTTTTGTTTAATTGTTTTTTTGCTACTATCTTTTAAATTATCAAAACAATAATAGATTTATATAACTTTGTTTTATATAATAGAATTTAAAATATAATTTACAGTTTTATCCTATTTTATTTTTAAATTTTTAAATCTTATTAAGTAAAATAATAACGATGACATCTATCGAATTATCTAACTCTGACATACACATAAATTTGATATAAAAAATATTTTCTTGCAAAGATCTTGATATTTTGTTTTGTTTTCCATATGATTTATAGAATTCTTTTTTCTTTGAGGTTTACATGTTCAAATATTTAGTTTTTTTTTATTGAATGTCTCATTGATGTTGTGTACCTATGCATGTATAATTCATGATTCATATTGACTCGCATTTAGTTTTGTTAGGAAGCTGCAATGATCTTGCAAAAGCACTTCTTACTTCTACTTCAGGTCTACCACGAATTTTAACTTATATTTGTATGCAGTTTATTATTTAAATATTATTTTTTTGCAGTATAATATTTGATAATTTTAAGTTTGAAACTTGTAGGATTGATGGTGTGAAGTCTTCACATTATTTTTTCATTATATTTATCTTTTGTGTGCTTTATGCATGTTTCATTTGAATATTTTAGCTCCATATACTAATTTGAGTTTGATTCATAAATTTGTTGTACTTTATTATTTAAATAAAATTTTAGAATATGTTACCCATATGTTATAAATGTTGGTTCAGATATAAGTAGTAGCTATGTATAGAAATCAGATTTTATTACTTGTTAAATTTTAAGTGTAAAAGTACTTATGTAGTATTTTTCTTTGTTATTTTTTTTTAATTCAGAAACACACAATGTCTTAATCTTTGTATATTGTTAAAAAATATATTTGATTTAAAAACTAATGTAAACCGATTGCAACTTTAGATAGGTTTTCATTGTCGATAC